TCCCACTAAACCCATCATGACCTTCAAACCACACCCCAAACCCCATCTTACTTCAGTCTACACTGATTTGTTTTGCAACACATTGGGGGTCAGTTTTAATGGCTCAGACCAAACATTTCCTTTGCAGTTGACTAAGCACACTTGAATATGGTACTGAGATTATGTTGAATTTTGAGGACTTCAGTCCACCAGAACCATTCCTTATCTTGTTTAATTCTACAGCTAGCAATATTCCAACTACGTGACAATCAGGTCTGGACCTGGCAACTAGAGACCAAGAGCATGAGGTTTTGATCCGCGTCTTTAGGGAACTATGACACAACTTCTTTGAGAGGCATTTAGAAGCTGGAACACTATGGAATGACAACAATATATGGATGAAGAACTTTTTTATTACAGTTGGAACGACTATTCGCTGTAGATTCTAAAAGTGGTAACAAGCAAGTGATGAACAGAGTAAGGCATGTATACAGGTGTGAGGAAGTGTTTTTACAGACAATAGGACTTTGGGCTGTAATAGCATGTGGAAACTATCCATAGATGGTTATTCTTCCTTAAAGATGACACAGATCAGGGCAGTGAGCTTCAACACTGTCCTGATTCAAGAACCAAAATGGGATCCTTTGGACATATTTGCCATCATCTTGGTTCTCATTAACTTTAATGGAGTTAGACTGTTGTAAGGTTGGTTATTGATATAACTCATAGAGATCAATAACCACTAACTAAATATCGATTGATTATCAATAAATATTGGAGACCTAACTTTGAGCAAAAATGCCAAAAACGTCTGCAAGAAATGAATAAATTTCACATTACCTATGAGTGGTGGCAGGTTTTGTTTGGATTACAGCATCCTGAACATAATTTAATAGCAGACCATGAATAAAATCCTAAATTTGTATATTGTGTGAAATAAATTTAATGTTTTTTCTATCACAAAATGCTCATGTGCGATCATTATCAATAACACAATTTTCATTTCGATAATCATTATTATTTTGCCGATAATAATATATGTCCGATTATTGACCATTTTAGCCAGCCCTAGACGGTGGCATTCTATTTGGATTGTCCTATGAACAGAGGGTTGTGGATCTTGTCACCAAGAATTATAACAATACGTTATCAGACAAATTCAGATTCAACCCCATAATAAGTCGATGTTGGTCACAAGGGCATGCAACTCTGTATAGTCATTTGTAGCACCTTAGATCACTGATGCCGACTATATATATCTTGGGTGTTGTCACCTTGAAGGTCACGCCGAAGACCCGGGTTCGAATCCCCACATGGGCACAATGTGTGAAGCCCATTTCTGGTGTCCCCCGCCGTGATGTTGCTGGAATATTGCTGAAGGCAGAGTAAAACCATACTCATTTACTCTTTCACCATCTGACTCCAATATTGTCTTAATTATTTGAGTGAGTGAGTGTGTCAAGTTGTACAACCCTTTAAGCAATATTCCAGCAATGTAATGACAGGGGATACACCAGAAATGCTCTTCACATTTCATAACTAAGCGGGGAATCAAACCCACGTCATTGGTGTGACAAGTCACCTTTAACCAAAGTAAAAACCAAACTCAGTCAGTCAGTCAGTCACCTTGAAGGATACTTTTGCCCACTGACCCAGGATCAAATCAGTTAATTTAAATAAACACATTGACTTGGCAGAATTGTGGAAACTGAGGCAATCATAAGAAGGTCATTTTTCTTCAAATCCCAGACTTGTACTTGTAAAACAGCATAAACAAAGAAGCGTGGAACTGTTTAGGCATGAAGGAAGACTTATGGCCAATTATTTGGACAACGTCAGGAAAAAATTATCTTGGTGTCTAGACAATGGTGTTGTTGAATATTCATGCTGCTGCTGAAGCTGATGGCCTGGTCATCTTCTTCCGACCTGTGACGTGGCATCCAGCAGCAGGCATGTCCTCAATAGACTAACGGTTGTTTTGGCGGACCACACTCCTAAAATGTAGATCTCCTTGATTAAATTCTTAAAATATGGATAAAAACATGAATTCCTGGATCTAATCAGAACTTGATGGTTTATTTGTAATTCAGTGATGCGGACAAAGATGCTAATTTCTGAAGTAATGAGGTTGTTGTTGGTAATTCGTGCTGCAAAAAATCACTCATCACAATATATGCATGCAAACTGATAATTAACACATTTGCCAGTGTCCACAGATCACCAGTGTTGTTGGATCAGGACATTGATGGGTTTTTATAAGATATCTGATCTAACATCTTAACGATTCAATTAAGCAGAATGTTTTTGTGTCATAAAAAAAGAAGCGTGGCTTTGAAAATAATCAATTACCATTAATCAAGAAAGCATTTCTACAGATAGGTCAGTGTCAAAGAACAGTGCCAGTGACTTCTTAGCTAACTGAAACACAAAAACATTATTAAAGAGTGATTACTTTAAGGAATCGAAGGTTGCCAGACATGTTGTTCTACCAATGGTAGGGAACAGTTGAGTGCTTCAACCACAAGGCTAAACACCCAACTTCATACTCCATACTTTCTACAATCAAGACTATACCCTTTATATTTCCATAACGAGTGAGTGATTTTTGTTGAACTCTGATATACTGAGAGAAACAAATAAAGGAACACATGAAAATTCAAGCGCTCCTTTAATATGTTCCAGTTTTCATCACCAGCTTTGAATAGCCCTGTGGGAGAAAATCTGAGAATGAATAAAAGAACACTGCCATGAAGTGGTGTTCCCTTATTTGTTTCCTTCAGTATATATCAATCATATCACTCCAACAAATTGCCAGAAATGGTTGTGTGATGGTGCACCTGAATAACATAACACAAAAATCACTACCATGGAAGTTTGATGCAAATAACCCATATTATCAACCCATTTTTCGGGTAGAAAAAAAATTAAACAATTTTTTAGCAGTCATTAAATCTTTTGTTATGAAACTGAAAATACTCAATTCTTATAATGTAGTACTTATTAAGATGACTTCATATTTACATACACCAAGTTTCGGCTAACAATTCACAAATTCACAGGATAACAAATGCTTTCTTCGTCACATACACCATGGTTCAGCTACAGTACCTAAAATATCAATATTCATATATTCATATCTCTGGAAGAAGCATAAACATTAGATATAGCACAAAGACTGAACTTGAGCCTTATAATAAGTTCCATCCTGAATATATTCTTCACAAATCAGGTTAACAAAGTGATCTTTGTTCTCCTGTATTCCATCACTGGCTTTTTTGCTGAATAAGCTAAAAACAGCAAGGCTGTTGAATTCTTGAAACTTATTAAAGTTTATTTAATTATTTATCCCCAGATCATATTTCAAATAACAACTGAAATAATCTTCTTTTAACTGTTAAAAATCATCCATAAAATAAGTTTTAGTGCATGCCTTCCGGGGAAAAATCTTTGTGGTGATGTCGAGTCAAGTCTTCAGGAGACGAAAGGCTAAAGAACAAACCGAAAGGTCTAGTATTTTCTTCAATTATAGATACAGACCAACCTGATGAAATTTCTTCCTGTATTCCATCACTGGCTTTTTTGCTGCTGAAGTTAAAAACAGCAAGGCTGTTGAATTCTTGAAACTTATTAAAGTTTATTTAATTATTTACCCCCAGATCATATTTCAAATAACAACTGAAATAATCTTCTTTTAACTGTTAAAAATCATCCATAAAATAAGTTTTAGTGCATGCCTTCCGGGAATTTTTTTTTGTGGTGATGTCATGTCAAGTCTTCAGGAGACAAAAGGCTAAAGAACAAACCGAAAGGTCTAGTTTTTTCTTCAATTATAGATACAGCCCATCCTGATGACATTTCTTCCAGACACTGGTTTCCAGAATTTTTTAGAATCCTGCCATTTCTACTTGCAGTCAGTAGCCATATCAAACATGACTACAAATATACAGGCTTGACAAAACAAGTTACACAATAAGAAACATGACCCTTTTTTTACCTGACCTCTAATCTCTGAACAGAGAGATTCTCAATATTTTTGTAATTAGAAACTTTATTGTACGGTCTAACTAGACAACAATGTGAACGGGTTGCTGCTGTGATTCACACTTGGAGAGAATACGGAAATTGGCAGAAATCAATTTCCATATTTCTTGTTGCATGACACACACAGATGAAGTCTTACCATCCAGATTCTCAGGAATCCAACTCAATTTAGCTTGGGGAATAATCAGATGGAATCGGTCTTCTCCTCACTGAATACTTGAATATGTAGGAGTTGGTGAGCTGGATGGACTTTTCCAGAGATCTTTCTCGATATTTGATGGCCAATTCTCATGAACAACTAGCAAAGAGTCCAGTAATACTATAAAATCTTTTGCAAATTGCAAGACCGTGCAATCTAATAAAAAACAAATCCACAAATGGTAGCATCAATTTGGCTAGACATAAGATACCACTTGCATGCATTATTTATTTAAATATCTTAACGTCATTCTGTTTTCGTTTCATAGGCTCAGCTGAAGAAGTCTCAAATGCAACAAAATCTTGCTACGATAAACATCTTAATGGAGTATCACATGTTTGATGTTCTGACAGAAAGGTCATCAGTGGAAAAACAAAATAAATCTATCCCTGGATGGACAAATATCCGAGAGCTTAAAGAAAATAATGATATAATTCCCTCTTTCTCTGGAAAAATAGAAAGTCATTTGCAAAGAATGAACCGACTAAGTACTAAGTCTCTGCTACACATTTAGAAGATGGTGAAAGATCAAGGCATGAAACCTTTTATCAACAGCATTTTTATTCTTTGTGACAGTTCTTCCTCTTGAACCCTCATCATGTGAATGATGATAATGAAAGGGCAAGAAGATGAAGAATGAATAAAGAACTTGTCATCCATAAAATTGTTCATGTCCTCATGACAAAGAATTAAAGACATGAATATTGTTGATAGGTGGATCATGTATGTATGAATAGAATTCATTATGTTTTGATGGTTGCACTTGTGATTGGGTAGAGGGATGGAGGGAGTGAGGAAAAGTGGGAGGGAAATGGAAAGAAAAGGGAAAGAGGAATGGAGAGGAAAAGAAGATAGAGAGGAGAGAGGTGAGAGAGAAGAAAGGGGAATTAGAGAGGAAAAGAGGGAGTAAGGGATGAAAAGAGGGAGGAGAGATGGAAAGAAAGAGGGAAAGAGGAATGGAGAGGAAAAGAAGATAGAGGGGAGAGAGGGGAGAGAAGAAAGGGGAAGTAAAGAGGAAAAGAGGGAGGAAGGGGTTGAAAAAGAAGGGAAAATAGTGAAGAAAAAGGAGGGAGAGGTGGAAAGAATGAAAGAGTGAAAGAAAGGAGAGGTACGTGGAAGAGAAAGAAGATAGAGAGTGTGAGAGAAGAAAGGGGAGGGAGGGAGCAACAGAGGGAAGGATGGAGAGAGAGGAAAAGGGAGAAGAAAAGGAAGGAGAGAACAAAATAATGAAGGAAAGGAAGAAAGAAGGAAAGAAAGGGTTTAATTAAACAGGGTCCCATAATGATCACAATAAAAGAGACAAAGTCCTTCCTTTGATGGAATGAACCTGACTAGCACGAAAAGGTGTTATGAATCTCTATCAAACTGCAATGATCCTAGGTATTTTTAAAATAGAATGAGTATCTTGCACCATCGTGGCACCTGTCACAAACACATGCAAAGGCAAGGTAGTTGTTAACCTGAAAATAAAGTTCAAGTCAAATTTAGAAATCTCTTCCCCATGTCTACCATACAACTTTTTAAAAGTTTTACTGATGCCTTGAATGTTGTAACTTTGATTGAACAACTTTCGAGTAATGATTGTAGCACGCTATTTGAAATAATCATGGAAAGAGCATGCTCGATTGTACCTCAATATTTGTGAAATGCAGGCATCAAAGGATGGAGCTGCTGCAATATTGCACAACATTAAGGAAAATGTGATGACTGGAACGTTCAAAACATCAAGTTGTCCAGAACAATAAAATTAAATTGTATTTAGACAACTTACGTCTAGACAACTTTAATTTCCTGTCTTATGTATTCTTATGCAACACAAAAGATAGGTGGAAAACATTATGAAGGAACTCACATCAGTACCTACCTGTATTTATTGATTTTCACTAATATGACATTTTCTGGTGTGTAATACCAACCAGGCTTACTGGGGTTCATTTTGGGGGAAATATTCTTATTTCTCATATTCTTCCTCTGTTTGTGGGTATGAAAATGGGACTGTATGGTTATATCAGTGAGCATAATGACACAAACAGTCCTTCGGCCTGTAGCAGGTGGTACTAGATGATGAAAGAAGTCAGATACTCAGCTGGGACACATACAGCATCATGCTTGAGATGGCATCACTTACATATGATAAGCAGCTCTACTGATTGTTTCAGAACAGTTCAACTCACTCATACTTGGGACTTGGTCATAATACTGAGATGAAGAATGAAATCTGTAGTCATTGTGTTCATCAGATCCAAATTTCAGTTTCTTCCAATGACACTTGGGACCTATTCTATCATGGGAGTCCCACAAGGGAGACAAGCATGAGGCATTAGGGACCAATTTCACCCAAAGATTCCCACCAGGGAAACAAGCATGAGGCTCTAGGGACCAATTTCACCCAAAGATTAGGGACCCACCAGATTCCCACCAGGGAGACAAGCATGAGGCTCTAGGGACCAATTTCACCCAAAGATTCCCACAAGAGAGACAAACATGGGGCTCTAGGGACCAATTTCACCCAAAGATTCCCACCAGGGAGACAAGCATGAGGCTCTAGGGACCAATTTCACCCAAAGCTTCCCACAAGAGAGACAAACATGAGGCTCTAGGGACCAATTTCACCCAAAGATTCCCACAAGAGAGACAAGCATGGGGCTCTAGGGACCTATTTCACCCAAAGCTTCCCACAAGAGAGACAAGCATGAGGCTCTAGGGACCTATTTCACCCAAAGCTTCCCACAAGAGAGACAAACATGGGGCACTAAAGGTCAATCCTGCCCAGGATGTCAACAAAGGAAACAAACATGAGGCACTGAGAATATTTCCTGCACCAAGATTCTCACAGGCACTGAAGACCTATTCTTCCCCAAGATTCTCAAAGGGAGACAATCATGAATCCCAGTTACCCTATTTTACTCAAAGACTCCAACAAGGGAGACAATCATGTGTAAGTCACTAAGGACCTATTGTACCCATGAGATTCAGAGAACAGCGGAACACATCCAATTTTATCACAGACAGACAGAAAATCTGACAACTGACAGTTTTACAACAGTGGCCTCAAGTTCAACACCCGATCTCATTTGTCAAGGGACTTCAACACTGATAATGATGGGATGAGAATGAAGCAGAAGAAGACATGTTGAAGAGGACAATACAATCAGGCACAATAGCCTCTCATGGTACTGTCTGTCTTCCTACATTGGTCTTGTCTCAAACCAACCATTGCAGTGACATTAAACCACTGTCCAAGACCTACTTCAACGGTCAAGATATCTCATGTTTTGTATATCAGCTTTGTGATTCCTTCAACGTAATTGAAAAAGAACCGCAGTCCTAGGAATCGATTTTGAAATATTTCAACTACAGCAATGCTTTACGGCAAGTTAGTAAAAGGCTTTGGGAATTCATTGTACAGAATTGTAATTATCCTCACTAAGCCGATGAGAGGCATTTTAGGAAAGTGATCTCTTGCCGCGAATGACTAGCCAATAAAACAGTGTAAAGTTTCAATGTACGAAAATATGTTGGAATGAGATCTTAAGGTGATGGCTTAGAAAGGGAATCCAATTGAGCCATCATAATTCATTACTATCGATTGGCCACCTTCAGGGAAACAGCAATAAACACAAGTTAGTGGGTTCTCATGAATCACCATGAAACCTTTCTAACTATTCAGCTTTTATTAAGCTTCCTTTTCATCCCCAATGTCACATTTTTTGTACTCTGCCTTGTTAGCAAGAAAGGAAGTGGCCAGTCGACACTCAAGGTTAAAGATCGAGGCCCCGTCTCGTAAAGAGCTCTACAAGCTCCTTGTACGCAGCTATGCATGTTCTGGCAGTGCTAAGGAATTGTCACCTGGGTTAAGAGAGCCATGTGTGGATGCTTATTGTCAGGCAATGGAAATAAATCTATCACTTTTCTCATACTTTATTTCACACTAATACACAGCTGAAAAAAATCAACTGAGAAAATTCTTGTACGACTCCCTGCCAAAAGAAGCTGAAATGATCTTGGCTGTGTGACAGAAAATCCTTTATTGATCTGAAGTAAATCAACTCATTCAAACCTGACCCCCTGCTTGTAAACTTGAGAAGCAAAGGAAGCTTCAGGATTAGTGGGAGGTGTAGAGCAAATCATAGCAGGAAGATAGACAATGCAGCAGAGGGCAGATACAACAGAGCTTCTGAAGAAATTCAAATTAGAGTAGAGACGGAATCATTTTCGCTGAACACAGTCATCTGTTCAGAGCTGTGAATGTTTACCATTAGTAATTACATAAGTATGACAAAAATGACATTTGCACAAGGATGTATGTGTGCCATCTTCTTTGAACAGTCTTTTCAGAGCTAAAGGAGTATACCAATGAAACGTGTGTAGGTAGGAAAGCAAACTTATATTAGCAGAGACAAGGATATGTGCATGCCATTGTCTATGAACACTCTCATCTGTTCAGAGCTGTACAAGTTTACCAGTCCTTATGTTCAGAGCAGTGCAAGTTTACCAATCCTCATTGTCTGTTTAGGAGAGAGATCATACTTATATTAGCAGAGACTAGGATACACGTAGGCTATCTTCTATGAACAGTCATCTGTTCTTAGCTGTGCAAGTGTACCACTCATAACTGTGTGGATGAGAGAACATACATATATTAGTAGAGACAAGGATATATAGGCTATCTTCTATGAACACTGTCATCTGTTCAGAGCTGTACAAGTTTACCAATCCTAATTGTATAGGGCAGAGTACATACATATATTAGTAGAGACAAGGATATATAGGCTATCTTCTATGAACACTGTCATCTGTTCAGAGCTGTACAAGTTCACCTATCCTAATTGTGTGGATCAGAGAAAATACATATATTAGTAGAGACAAGGATATATAGGCTATCTTCTATAAACACTGTCATCTGTTCAGAGCTGTACAAGTTTACCAATCCTAATTGTATAGGGCAGAGTACATACATATATTAGTAGAGACAAGGATATATAGGCTATCTTCTATGAACACTGTCATCTGTTCAGAGCTGTACAAGTTCACCTATCCTAATTGTATAGGTGAGAGTACATACATATATTAGTAGAGACAAGGATATATAGGCTATCTTCTATTAAACACTGTCATCTGTTCAGAGCTGTACAAGTTTACCAGTCCTGAATAGGGCAGAGTACATGTTCAGAGCAAGGATATAAGGTTTACTTCAAACACCTCATTGTCTGTTTAGAGAGAGATCATAATTGTATATTAGTACATAGAGACTAGGATACACGTAGGCTATCTTCTATGAACAGTCATCTGTTCTTAGCTGTGCAAGTGTACCACTCATAACTGTGTGGATGAGAGAACATACATATATTAGTAGAGACAAGGATATATAGGCTATCTTCTATGAACACTGTCATCTGTTCAGAGCTGTACAAGTTTACCAATCCTAATTGTATAGGTCAGAGTACATACATATATTAGTAGAGACAAGGATATATAGGCTATCTTCTATAAACACTGTCATCTGTTCAGAGCTGTACAAGTTTACCAATCCTAATTGTATAGGGCAGAGTACATACATATATTAGTAGAGACAAGGATATATAGGCTATCTTCTATGAACACTGTCATCTGTTCAGAGCTGTACAAGTTTACCAATCCTAATTGTATAGGTCAGAGTACATACATATATTAGTAGAGACAAGGATATATAGGCTATCTTCTTTAAACACTGTCATCTGTTCAGAGCTGTACAAGTTTACCAATCCTAATTGTATAGGGCAGAGTACATACATATATTAGTAGAGACAAGGATATATAGGCTATCTTCTATGAACACTGTCATCTGTTCAGAGCTGTACAAGTTTACCAATCATAATTGTGTGGA